AAGGGTTCTGAAGTATGGGCCCTTGGGTTTTATCGGGTATGTAGGCGGCATATACGGCGTCCCGATTTAAGGGTCCAGGTTAAGGGACCATGTATCTGACCTAAAAACGATTTGCGCCTGAAGGTTAAAGGGCAGTCAGCTGGTGTAATGAGTAAGGTAACTTCTGTATTATCTGGTTATAGCATCTCTTGGAGCTTGCTGATGGTTAGGGTTTAGGGTAAACTACTACATAGGTCCTCAGCACCCCCCCCCCCCCCCCGAGCAGGATTCCTTCTTTTCAGGGTTCAGCTTTCCTTCTAAGCCCCTTTAAACCCAAAACACCCTTTTTTCCTAGGCTACTCTTGTGTCTAGTCTTTGAAGGGCAAGCAGGTCACTCCAGCAACCCTTACCCGCCCCTAAACCCTAACAAATAAACCCGAAATCCTCCGAGGAAAGGCTACACAGCGCTGCAGGCGCTTCCGGGTAAGGGGCTGGCTCAAGGCCTTGAGGCCCCGAATTCTGAACCCCCGAAACCCCGAACCCTAGACAGGTGGCGAAGAAGCTCTCAAGCCCTCCAAATCTTAAACCCCTAAACCCTAAACCTCAATTAAACCCTAAACCCTAAACCCCAAACCTTCATTTAGGAATTTTAGAGCTCCTTGGCACGAGGTCGTTGATTTTCCCCAGCTTGGGAGAAGAGGGCGAGGGGTGAGTGCCAGAAATAGCTGGCGCTTTGCCTCCTAAGCCCTATCAGGATTTAGGGTTTAGGGTTCCTAAACCCTAAAACCTAAGTCTATCAGAGGAAACGACGACTTTTTTCCTGAAGACAGCAACGGTGCGTTGTTCCCTGCAGTGTGACTTTCAGTCAGCTGGGCGGGTGGCCAACAAATCTTAGTGTTCTGGTATTGTTCGCCTACTTGCAAGGTTTAGGGCTTAGGGCTTAGGGCTTAGGGTTTAGGCTTGGGGTTTAGAGTTTAGGGTTTGGGTTTTGGGGTTCAGGGTATAGCTGTGAGAACAAGTCGAACCAACAAACGGCCCAAGTGACTTTCATGCACGGTTTTCCCCTTGCAACTCCACGCGCTCCATCGTCCTAAACCCTAGACCCTAAACCCCTAAACCCTTAAACTCCTAAACCCTAAACCCTTTCACCTCAGCCAGCAACCCCGAAGCGACTGAATCAACGCACCAGGACCCCGAGTGCAAGGAGTGGCCGGAGGTCTGGGAGAAGATCAAGCCCTTCTGAGATGTGCTTCATGATTGGGGCTTAGGGTTTAGGGTTTAGGGTCTAGGGGGTTTAGGGTTTAGGGTTTTGGGGGGGGGGGGTGGGGGCGGGGGGGTTGGTCGGAATTAGGGTTTGAGCTTTCGTTTTGATGCCCTCAACTGCACAGGGGTACACTAAATAACGGCCCTATCTTACGGGCTCGCAAGCCCTTGGATAGGTTGGGTTTGCGGGTTTTGATGCCCCATGCAAGTTCTGGCATCTGCGAGCGTGATTGACAAACAATGCCGGTTGCAGTCTCCAGAGTTTTCGGGCTGAAGGTGACGTTGAAGGGTGCTCGCAAGCCGTGGCCCTTTTTCGGTACCCCTGAACAGTAAGAAGTATACGACAAAGGAGCCTGAGGGAGGGTACTCCAAACTGGGCCTAAGCCCTAACCCCTTGCCTGCCTTGTGCGAGAGGGAGTGAGCGGCGAAACCCTAAACCCTATCCGAAACCCTGGTTGTTTAGGGTTTGGGGGTCTAACCTTTAGGCTTTGGCGGAATGATAGTCGTGATATAGTACCAGTAAGAAGCAGAACCATCGCAGTATGATACAAGCGCAGATGCAGCAGAAGCCCCACACCTTTAAGCTGCCAAGCTGAGCATTCATACATTTTTGAACCTGGCTAAGGCTCTTTAGGCGCGTATTCCTACGTTTACAGTCATCCCCCAAGGCCTGCTCCGTCCTCCCCAATCCCTGAAGCTCGTACCCTAGACCCTGAGCCTAAACCCTCAACCCTAAGCTCCCTAAATTCCCTAAACCCCAAACCCTTGGGTTTGGGGTCACTTGGCAAAGAACCCCTTCAGGCCTAAGGGACTATTATCGGGACCATACTATAGTGAATACATTGAGGGAACTCCTGGTGGGACCCCGAAACCCTATAAACGTCTCGCGTTCCGGGTTTAGGAGTTTAGGGGTTTAGGGTTTAGGGTTAAGGGTTTAGGGTTTAGGTTTAGCGTTTAGAGTTTAGGGTTTAGGGTTTAGGGGTTCCTAAGTCCTTGATATCCGTCCGACCCACGTTGCGCTGGGCTCGAGAGGTCCAGGAGGGGGCTGGACAGGTTTAGGACGGAGGGCTTAGTCTGCAAGGTTCGCCTTCAAGTAGGGGCAATTAAGTCGAGCACGTCACCTCGCAGCATCAGACCAACCCCTCAAGTCACTCAAGCTTTTCAGGACTTCTGACTATGAATTGGCTTTCAATGCACGTAGCTTTCGGGACACCTCCGCAAGACACCGGAAGGAAGCAGCAGGGTGGCGGTTTAGGGTTTAGGGTTTAGGGTTTAGGGTTTAGGGTTTAGGGTCTAGGGTTTAGGGTTTAGGGTTTAGGGTTTAGGGTCCCTGCACCTCTTCAGCTCCTTGGGGTCATGGCTGCTGTAGCGATGCAAGTGGACCTGGTGGAGCGCATGCCTTGGTGCTTCCACGACACTTGGGGGTTTAGGGTTTAGGGTTTAGGGTTTAGGGTTTAGGGTTTCGGCCCAAGACATTGAGGGCACGGCGTAAATTGCGACGGCAGCTCATGTGATGTCGTTTACTTCTTCCCGTGTTTCGGAGCTTTTGTATCATGCCATGCTGTCATGCCGCAGGTGAGGGCTGCGTCGACCTAAGATTCAACACTAAATCCCCCCAAAAAAACACCAAGCCACAAAACCCCTGACCCCCAAAACCCCAAAACCCTTCAGCCTGAAACCCTAAACCCTAGACCCTAGACCCTAAACCCTAAACCCACAAAACCCTAAAAGCCTCAACCTTTGCCAGGCCTGCTGTGCCTTAGTGAGAGAGCCGAAAGCCCTAAAAACGCTAAGCCCCGAAAATCCACGCGCGAATCGAGAAGTGTACCAATGCAAAAAAGCCCAAAACCCTAAACCCCAAACCCTAAGCCCTAAACCCTAAAACCCTAAACCCTAAACCCTAAATCCCTACACCCCAAACCCCAAACCCCAAACCCCAAGCCCCAAGCCCCAAACCCCAAACCGTACCCCTCAGTCCTAAACCGCCCCAGGTCTCCACCGAAGCCCGCCGAGGTGGGTTAGGAGGGCTGCTCTCGTGTTCACCGCTTCAGGGTTTAGGGTTTAGGGTTTAGGGTTTAGGGTTTAGGGTTTAGGGCTTAGGGTTCTTAAACCCCAAACAATAAACCCTGAACCGCAGGTTTGGTCTTAGATTGTGAGGGTTTAGGAGCGCTCTCGTCTTTGTGTTCCAAATAGGGTTTAGGGTTTAGGGTTTAGGGTTTAGGGTTTATGGAGCAGGGTTTTAGGTATTGGCTTTTCGGTTGATATCCCCAGCGCCTCTTCATGGGACTCAACACGCAAGCCCCAAACCAGTCCCTCAGTCGAGCCGGCGCACCAGCAAAGTTTGCTTACAAGATGACAGGACTTGCTTACTGGCTCAAAACCCAACCTTTTCAAAGGTTCAACGTTTATTCATTTTATTCCCTTGGGTTTTGGGCCAGTACGCTTGCTGCATCCGTCACTCAAAACGTAGGATTGCTTGGCCTCAGTGGTCTCGGAGCCTGGGGGGGGGGGGGGTGGGTGTTGAAAGAACCTGCTAGCCATGACAAAGAGTAATTGGTTTTAGAGTTTAGGGTTTAGGGTTTAGGGTTTTTTCTAAGCTTTACCCTAGACCCCAAGAAACCTGCGTGCATGCAGCCGTTTGTTGGGTTAGTTGCAGGGGGTTCTAGCATACTACCCCAAAAAGCACCACATAGGAGCCTTTGGGTAGACACTGAACCCAACCTGAACCCGGAACCCTAAACCCTAGACCCTAGACCCTAAACCCCCCGGTTCCGGGTTCCACAACTGCAGGCCAGGAAGCGGCAGAAGCGACCGGCGAGCAAGACTCTCACCTTCGAGGCCTGATCTGCTGCAATTTAGGGTTTAGGGCTCAGGGTTTGGGGTTTAGGGTCTGGGGTTTAGGGTTTGGGGGTTCAGTATTCAAACGGGATTTGGGTTCAGGGTTTAGGGTTCAGGGTTAAGGACTCAGGGTTCAGGGTTTAGGGTTCAGGGTTCAGGGTTTAGGGTTCAGGGTTTAGGGTTTCTACTGTGAAGCTAGGGAAGCCTGATGCTTGGCAAGGCCACGCCGCCACAACCTACAAACCCTATACTAAACCTTAAACCCTATACTCCAAAACCCTAAACCCTAAACACTGAACCCTGAATCCTTAACCCTGAACCCTAATTCAAGGCTTCGAAGCCCTACCCTCAACCCCATCGGAAGCCCCCCAGCGCCACTTTCAGGAGCCAGAGGCGGAGGCGAAGCCGGCCGTCCTGCGACGGAAGAATCTTGGATTTCTAAGGGGAATTTAGGGTTTAGGGGTTAGGGTTTAGGGTTTAGGGTTACGTACCCTAAAACCTTGGATTTCGAAGGGGTGTCGGTTTGGCAGTTTAGGGGGTTTAGGGTTTGGGGTTTAGGGTTTAGGGTTACCCCCTGTTAAACCGACAGGTTCCCATGTTCACTTGTGCTGTCCAACATGTCTTCATCCTCGCCGGCCCTTCCGACAGCTCCGAGGTGGGAGGGAGAGGCTAGAGCTTGACCAAAACTGCACGGGGTGCAGTGGAGGGCTACATTCAGGGCTGGGTCCTCATAGGGGTCTGTGGACAGACCATAGGGTTACTTAGGTCAGGGTGCCTCATTCGACATTGCTTAGGCCGACAGGACCGGGCTTAGGCATAGGGGTTTCACATTGGTAGCGGAGCCCGGCCTGTCGCTAGCTAGGAGTTAGTGTAAACAGGGGGTTCCAGGGAGTTTTTGTTGATGGGAGTGGCGCGGCGCCATGGCGCAAGCTTCAGAAGGAACGGCTGAAGCAGCGGCAGGAGCCACCGGAGGTGTGAGCCATCTCCCGTGGCAGCAGGTCCCGAAGTTTACGCCAGGGGTGACAAGCGTGGACGAGTACTCTCAACGGCTTCGCTTTCTCAAAGAGTTGTGGCCAGCCGAGCATCTGTCGTTGTTGGCTCCCCGGGCAGCCCTCTTGGTGGAGGGGGCCGCCTTCCAAAAGGTGAGCCGGATCAAGCCCGAGCAGTTGCGAGGACCTGATGGTGTGAAGTACCTTGTGGAGTCGCTGGGCGGGTCTTGGGGAAAGACCACAGTGGAGGAGCGATACCACTTCTTTGAGCAGGCCATCTTTCAGACGCAACAGAAGGCGGACGAGAGTAACGATTCGTACATTGCCAGACACGACGCTTTCTTTGAGGAACTCTTGAGCCGTGGGGTGACCCTTGAAGAGATCCGCGCCTATGTTCTTCTCCGTCATTCCTTGTTGGCCCCGGAGGACAAGAAGCGTGTGATCGTGGAAGCCAAGGGCGACTTGAAGTACCAAGAAACGGTCCGAGCAGTGCGGCTCTTGGGGTCCAAGTTCTTCACAGACTTTCAGAACCGTAGTGGCCCGGGAAATGCCAAGGCAATGGATCGAAGCAAGGTCTACGACATCCACATGACGACAGACGACGACACCTTTGAGGAAGTGCACATGGCGATGGGACAGGACGAGGACCTCAGCGATGAGCTCATCCTGGCTCACTTCCTTGAGGCCAATGACGAGGACGCCATCTACATCACGGAGTTTGAAGATCAGATAGTGGAGGCGGTGCAGGAGAGTGAGTTGGCCCCAGTCTTTGCCTCGTACCAAGAAGCTCGTCAAAAGCTGCGGGACAAAGCAAAGTCCAGGGGGTTCTGGCCCATCAAGGGCAAGATGAAGGGGAAGGGCCAGTCCGGGAAGAGAGGCAAGGGTTATGGTTCCTGGGATGGGGGCCGTCGACGTTCCCTTGCAGATCGGATCGCCAACTCCAACTGCAAACAATGTGGGGCCAAAGGGCACTGGAAGCGGGAGTGCCCGAAGAACGACGCTAAGCCAGAGGCGACCTTGTTTGCCCAGATCCAGCCGACCGATCCCTTCCAATCGGAGGTTCTCCAGACCCTGCCAGACTCCGAGCCCTTCAACATCGATGAGGACGACAGCGCATGGACACAGAGAGGGGTTAGCACAGGGACAGGGAATACTGGAGTAATTCAGGACTTCGGGGAGACTTGCTTTATGGTTGCGCCAAAGGTGAGGCCTTCTTTGTCTCTCGAGTCTTGCCTTGCACGACGTTTGTTAATGATTCACAGGACATGTAGGACGCCAAGCTGTGCGCCGCCGGGTGCATCTTCTGAGGCGCAAGGGCCGGCCACCGCGCCGAAGCAGGCAGTTTTGAGACGCAGCAAGCCCAGTCCCATAATTCCTGAAGCAATTCTAGTAGCCACTGTAGGTACTGAGGGGGTGCTAGATACAGGGGCCAGTAGGACTGTGCTAGGAGACCAAAGGGTTCGAGAAGTGATAAGCGGTCTTGCTGCAGAGTGTCGCGGTCGAGTAAGGAAGATAGCTTCTGATGTCACCTTCCGTTTTGGAAACAGCGGGACACTCACGTCAAAATTTGCGCTGCTGCTGCCCACCTCAGAAGACACATGGGTCAGAGTTGAGGTGATCCCCGGAAACACTCCTTTGTTGATATCAAATCGTCTTCTCAGGGACCTAGACGCAGTTATTCATGTTAAAGAGGGGTATTTAATGCTGGGTGGTTCTAGGAGGGTAGACCTTAGATGGGATGAGCGAGGCCTATCCATAGTCAATCTGTCAGATCTCCTTCACGTCGGGGACAGGAAGGCTCCTGTCTACGTTGTTGACAGTCTGGGGGCGCACCCGCGTCCAGAAGCCTCCTCGGGAACACCAGCCAACAGTCCAGTCCCCAGTCCCCCAGAAGATGTTTCCGTTCCACCAGAATCAGCAAAGCAGCGTTTCCAGGAACCACAGAACACAACACGGCAGCCTGAGCTCAAGCAGACAGCACGAATCTTCGAATATCCTTCTCCTTCGCCGAGCGGCTTCCAACCGAGCGATGCCCACCTCAGTCAAGCAGTCCGTGAAGAAGCTCCAAGAGAAGATGCCCGAGGTCAATCTGGACGAACCTCTCTCCGCGGAGGAGGATGTGCACTTGGCCGAGGAACAGCTGACCATGGTAAAGTACTTGGAGGTGGAAGTTGTCCGCCCACCGGGGATTGCGAATCTTCGGGAATGGGGCCAAGTGGTGATCGCGGCTGGCAAGCACAAAGGAAAGAGTCACGAGAAAACGTTCGAGACCGACCTGTCCTACTCGATCCTCATGGCTCGGAAGTCTTCTCTCAGCAGCCCATGGGCACTGTCGTTCAAGAACTATGCCCTGATGCGACTGAAGCAGATGGCCAAGACGGAGCAGGCGAGGTCCACGACCAAGGCGGAGGCAAAGAACATCAAGTCCCAGGGTCCAGCCGTCATGGACGGAGAGGAGAGCGATGGGTGGAAGCTCTGCTCGCCGGATGCCACATCCCACACAGCTGCACCGAGCCGGGGCAGCAAGAGGAACAGTCCGCCGGGGGCAAGCTCGCAGATGCCCATTGCCATGTCGCCGGAGGAGATCATGACGCGCCGGGCCGTGCTCGAAAGAGAGCTGACGAGGCTTCGGGAGATCGAAGATGCCGACAAGGAGTGAGGGTTGATCCAAGCATGGAAACGGACGCAAGCAATCAAGGGAGGCATGGCAAGGTTCAACAAATGTGTGCACAAATAGACAAGTACATCCTGCAAATCGAAGAACAACTTGGTGATGCAGTGAGAAATTCGGTGTGCCAGTACCGTCTGCCCTCCCTTGATGTCATCGAAATCGGTAGTGGGGCCATTTGCGCAGCCGTTCAGAGATGTGGCGGGAGAGCTTTAACACTTTCTCCGGCAAAGCTTGGGAGCGCTCGGGGTATGTATGATCGCCTCTGGAAGCTGATCTCAATGTATGAGCCGACACATCTCTGGTTGGATTTGCAGCAGCCGTGGAACCACAAAACAGACAAGGGCAAAAAGACACCATGGCCAGGACAGTTTCTTCTTGACCTTTATCGCTACCAAACAGAACGAGGCAAGCACATACATTTCCTGTGTGGCCAGGGTTTCTTTGAGCAAATGGCGCCTCAACTCCAAGAGGTTCAACAGGGCACTTTGCGAATGATTCATGAGCTGGAAGTGGGAGACACCCCGCCAGGAAACAACCATCTCCGCAAAGCCACCACACTGTACACCACGTCCAGACGACTGCAGCAAAGTGTCGACACTCGCTTTCAGACAGCGGGTCCAGATCCCAGTGGGCGAAGCAACCGCATGTTCCCACGAGAGAGGCGTCTTGCCAAACGGGTAGCCATGCACCTAGGTCAGGACTTAGGGTTTCCTCTGCCTTTAGAAGAGCTGTTGTTTAATGTTGAAAAGCGGGGAGTCTCTAACTCTGACATTACTGCCGCCCAGCAAGTTTTGAAGCGCCGAAGACTGTTTGGAAAACAGCCAGGGCCGACAATCTCTGGAAGCGAGGCTCCTAGGATAAGTTGGGATACAGTTTTTCGAGATGTTAACGCGAGGGTTCCGAAAGGGGGAAAGGTAGGGTTTTCAGAAGGGGACCCGGTAGTCCAACAAGTTCAAGCACTGCTTCCACAGATTGTTGTGCAACATGTCGTCTGCTGTCGAGGCACCAACCGGATACAGCCACCTTGTGTGGAGGGAATGCCGCGGGACATGCCTTTACGTCAGACGGTTGTGGTAAAAAGGGTTGGTGGTGAAATAGCTATGGATGGTGAGATAGAGGATTGGTCCCAGGTTCCACGATATAAACAGATGCGTAAAGGCATTCCTGCAAAACTCAGTCTCACAGCTTACGGCATGTCACCTGAAAGATTGCGGAGTTTCAGGGGTCTTCGAGCAGAAGAAGCCCGGAATCAGCAGATGCCCTTAAGAGTAGACCAAAATCCCGAAGCACCCCAAAACCCTGAAAATACCTCAACAACAACAGATGTGCCGACAACGCGCTCGGATGCTGAGGATGGACCGCTCATTCAGGGCTACCCTCCACGGTCGGTTCCTAGGCACGGGCCGGGGTACTTCGCTTTAGGGGAGTCCGAGAAGAGGGAGTTAGTTAGGCTCCATAACAATTTGGGTCATCCATGCACTGAGACGTTTGTCAGATTCCTGCAAGAACGAAAAGCCGAGCCTGCGCTCATCCAGGGTGCTCGCGACTACTCTTGCAGTACGTGCTTGGAAACGGTTCCCACCCAAAAGTTAGCTAGGCCGGCGACAATTCACACGCATCGAGATTTTAACGACACAATCGGTATGGATGTTGCGTACTGGACCAATAGCGGGGGGAAGAAGTTTCTGTTTACGCACATTGTCGATGAGGGCACACTGTTTCAACAAGCCAGTGGAGTAGGTAGGACGCCAGAAGAACAATGGGAGTTCCTATCGGATCATTGGTTTCAGTGGGCAGGGCCTTGTCAAACTTTGTATGTAGATCCAGCAGGGGAGTACAACAGTGATTACTGGCGTCTAAAGCTGCAAACTGTAGGTGTGTGCACCAATGTTTCTGCGGGAGAGGCTCATTGGCAACTCGGTAGGACGGAAGCTCATGGTAGGATACTGAAGAGCATGCTTTCTAAAATGGACCATGAAGAGCCCATCCTGAACGACGAAGGTTTTCGTCGGTGTCTGAGAGCGGCAGTGCAGGCTAAGAACAGCTTGAGTAGGGTCCGGGGCTTCACACCTGAACAGGCAGTCCTGGGTAAACTTTCGCGGCTGCCAGCCTCTCTGATTTCCGACAATAGTGCCACGTGCCATGCTTTAGCCGACAGTGATCTGCCAGAAGGAGTCTCCTTCAGGAGGGACCTGCAGCGCCGTGAACAGGCCAGAGTCGCATTCATACATGCAGACAACGACAACTCGTACCGTAGGGCTCTACTTCGTCGTTCGAGGCACCCCTGTGAAAGATATGAGCCGGGCGATTGGGTTCTGTACTGGCGCCGACATAAAGCCGGGAGTCGTGCGGAGCAAGGAAGGTGGTATGGGCCGGGTCAGGTAATTTGTGGGGATAGCAAGGTAGTGTGGGTGAGCCATTGTGGGCAATTGATCCGTGCAGCTCCTGAGCAGCTGCGATCCGCGTCCTTGAGAGAATGGCAAGGGGTGCTGGGAAAGACCAGCGCTGAGAGTTCACAAGGGGCAGTAGGTCAAGGGGTTAGAAGGGTGGTCGACCTTGCTGTTCTCGGAGGAACACCTAGCCGAGCAGAAGTGGAGAGCCAGGGAGAGGTTCCGCAGGATGTTCCCGAACCATTAGGACCCATAGCCCCAGAAGGAGTAGCTGGGATAGAGGCCGGGGGTACGGTTCCTGAAGTTCCTGAAGAAAATGCGGAGGGAGAACAGCCAGAGATGGAAGTCTCACCTGTGCCGTCGGTAGGTCTCGAGACAGATATGGTAGATGCTTCGAACATTCCTGTGCCTGAAGATGACGAAGACGACCTCTTGTTTGGAGACAGTGAGTGTTTTTTCGCACATCCCACACAGTCACAGGCATGGGAAATCAGTTTGCATGAAACGGAGGTGCCTTTCGAAAACCTCCCGACGCCGCAGCAAGCTTTGCATTTTGTAATGTTAGCCACCGAGGCACGCAAGAAAACGAGTTGAAGTAAGATTGAGGGACTTGAACGAGGGTGAGAGGCAACAGTTCGTAGAAGCTAAGGGCAAGGAGATTCGAGCCTGGCTTGACCACAGGACTGTACGTAAAGTAGCTGCGGGAACCCTTGATGATAGTCAACTCATGCGTTGCCGCTGGCTTCTAACATGGAAAGGCCCCGAGAAGGATGGAGGGCCGAAACGGGCCAAAGCTAGGCTAGTGGTGCTTGGGTTTGAAGACCCAGACATTGCTGATATCCCTAATGACGCTCCTACTTTAGGTAAGGACGCCCGACAACTCATCCTTCAGAAGGTGGCCAGTAACCGTTGGAAACTGATCAACTTCGATGTGTCCACTGCTTTTCTGCAGGGGGAGGGGGATGGTAGAAAGCTAGGCATAAGACCACCTGAAGAGTTAAGAAGAGCCCTCAACATGCAGGCGCAGGAACAATGCCAGCTCGAAGGCGGCGCTTACGGCAGAATCGATGCTCCGTTTTTGTGGTTTCAGACATTTAAGAAGACACTTGAAGAGCTTGGTTTTGTGCAAAGCCCTTTCGATGCCTGTGCTTTCAGCCTCGTTTCACAAAGGGCCGATGGTAGTGCTCAGGTTCATGGTGTTCTGGGAATACACGTAGACGACGGGATTGGGGGAGGTGATGAGTATTTTCGGAGGGTCATAGATCGGTTGCGGGGTATCTACAGCTTTGGGTCGTATGATGAGGGCGAGTTCACGTTCACCGGGATTCGTTTTCGCCAATGGGACGATGGGAGCATTGAAATGGACCAAGAGAGGTACATAGAGAAGATCGTGCCCATACATGTGTCCCGAGAGCGTAGAGTGAATCCCACCGCGATGTTGAACCCTGAAGAACTTAAAGAGCTGAGACGCCTCAACGGTAGCCTCCAGTATGCTGCAGTGCATTCTCGACCCGACCTAGCTGCAAAGGTAGGCTACTTACAGACAAGGGTCAACAAGGGCCAGGTTCAGCATCTTCTGGAAGCTAACCGTGTCCTTCAAGAGGCCAAAGCTCACCCAATCTCTTTGATGGTTGTGCCAATTCAAGAACAGCATGTTACGTTTTGCACCTTTTCGGATGCTTCCTTCGCCACGTCGAAAGACCATAACTCGTATCAGGGTACGCTGGTGGTGGCAACAGACTGGCGAATGCTAGCCAACCGCGAAGCTGTGATCATTCCTGTGGCCTGGTCCAGTAAGAAAATCTCCAGGGTAGTAAGAAGTACATTGAGTGCTGAGGTAGTTTCTCTCTGTGGGTCCGTAGACCGAATGTCCTGGATCAGGTTGTTCTGGGAATGGTTCAAGAATCCTGCTGTTGATATCGCACATCCGGAAGAAGTCCTTTCCCACGCGCCTCAAGCTTCGTTAGTCACCGACTGTAAGAGCGCTTACGATATAGCTACGAAAACTGCTGTACCTACGTGTTCTGAACTACGCACCCAGTTGGAATGCTTGTTGCTGAGGGAGAGACTTCAAGAAAATTGCAAGATGCGCTGGGTTCATTCAAAGGCCATGTTAGCGGACTGTTTGACCAAAGTGATGGATAGTTCCGAGTTAAGACGTCACCTACGGGAGGGTTACTATGCCTTATTCGACGAACAAAAGGTTCTTGAGAATAGAGCGGGGCAGAGACAGTCGCTGCAGTGGCTACGCCAGAACTCAACCGGAGTCTCACCGGAGCACAAGTGAAGAAACTTAAAAAGTTGGTTTTCGATGAGTGTTAAACCGACAGGTTCCCATGTTCACTTGTGCTGTCCAACATGTCTTCATCCTCGCCGGCCCTTCCGACAGCTCCGAGGTGGGAGGGAGAGGCTAGAGCTTGACCAAAACTGCACGGGGTGCAGTGGAGGGCTACATTCAGGGCTGGGTCCTCATAGGGGTCTGTGGACAGACCATAGGGTTACTTAGGTCAGGGTGCCTCATTCGACATTGCTTAGGCCGACAGGACCGGGCTTAGGCATAGGGGTTTCACAACCCCCCTTGGATTTCGAAGGGGTGTCGGTTAAGCAGTTTAGGGGAGTTTAGGGTTTAGGGCGTAGTTTAGGGTTTAGGGTTGAGGGTTTTGGAGTATAGGGTTTAAGGTTTAGTATAGGGTTTGTAGGTTCAGCGATTTATGGGTTTAGGGGGGCTTCGGGTTTAGGGGCTTGAGTTTTCGAATGCCTCTGTGAGAGAGAGAGAGAGAGAGAGAGAGAGAGAGAGAGAGAGAGAGAGTGAGAGAGAGAGAGAGGGGCTTGGGGTTGGTTCCAACGGCTTAGGAGTTTTGTTTTCAGGGGTGTAGGTTCTGGCAGTCTAGGGGGGTTTCGGGTTTCAACGGCTTAGGCGTTTAGGCTTAGGGTTTCTGAGTTCGGGTTTTTTGGGCGCAGGGCTTAGACACATCCTGGCATTATCCCTGTATAAGCCCTTGAAGGGTCAAACTGTAGTAGGGACATGCGTTCAGGGACTCCCTACAAAGAACTAGGAAGCAGGTTTTGGGGTTTTAGGGTTTTAGGGTTTAGGGTGTAGGCTTTAATTCAGCTCTAGGCTTTAGGGTTTAGGGTCTGATGGCTTCAGGCTTTCGAGATTTTTATCATTAGCATTATTGTCATTATTATTATTGTTTTGATTCTCTTCTATTTTGATATTTTAAGTCTAATTCATTAATTTTATGTTCTGTTTGAATCGGGTTTAGGGTGTTTGGGGGCTCTGGAAAGATTCCTCTGTCAGGGGTATTCCGAACCCAGGGTTCCCTTTACAGGACAAACACATATTGGTCCCTGAAGACCTTGCCATTATGTCTATGTGCCAAGGATTGTTCCTTGTAGCCACCTGCTCCTTAAACCTTGCAAGCATAGGCCCCCCACACCCCCAAAACCCTAAACCTCAACCCTCAACCCCTAAACCCTAAACCCTAAACCCCAAACCCAGAGTCGACAGCCACTCACAACTGAAGATTGGGTTTGGAGGGCTGGGGGGTTTCGGGCTTAGAGGGCTCCAACCCCGGATTTGTGTCAAAACGGCTTTGGATTTTAAGAGGGTTTTAGGGGGGTGTAGATAGGGCTTAGAGGGTTTGGGGCTTAGGGTTTAGGGTTTAGGGTCACCCCGCCCCCAGCCCCCCCCACCCCCCGCCCCCCCCTCCCCCCCAAATTGACTCCAGGAAGGGCAAGCAGGCGGACCCAACCAGGCCGTGATGCTTTTAGGGTTTAGGGTTTAGGGTTTAGGGTTTGCTCCTGCGGCTTGGCTTTCTGGCCCGTAGCTTCGGGGGACTTCGAACTCCAAAACCCTGGGTTTAGGGTTTAGGGTTTAGGGTTTAGGGTTTAGGGTTTAGGGTTTAGGGTTTAGGGTTTAGGGTTTAGGGTTTAGGGTTTAGGGTAAGCAGAAATAAACACCTACTTTTCTTGGGTGGGTTATGACTTTAGAGCCCTTTATCGGATTCTCAGGTAACCTCCAAACAAGTAGGTTTTGGGTTCGTAAGGTCAACCACCAAGGCCAAACCCTAAACCCGAAAGGGCCCAATCGAGCCTTCTCCCTTCTCACACAGCATCTTAGCAGCTGAGTGAGCACACTTTACACTTCTTGGGATACTAGAAACCCCCTATAGAACGGAAAGTGTGCACTTTTTTGGGGGCTCATGAACTCAGCAACTAAGCCTTGGGGGCACAATTTTTTGCTGGCGAGCCTACCGATCGCCTTGCATGTCACAGGGCCGCGGAGGCGGAGGCAGACTCTGCATCTCCAGAGGCACGAACTCTCAAAGTGACACTGAAGGTTTCTAGCGTTTGTTTACGGTAAACTCCAGAAAGTTGGAACATGATTTTTGGAGAATTAGAGCTGATTTCCCTCTAGTTACCTTTTGGGGATAAGGATGTTCCAACTTTTTGGGGTTTACTTTGGGGTTGGGAGTTTCAGGATTGCCTGCTTGTTTAGGGTTGATGATTTTGGGGTTGGGCCTTAAGGTTTTCAAGGTTGTCTCCTAATTTAGAGCCTGGTTTGGATTTCTTCAGCTTCCCTCCAGTTTGTTGGGGCTTAGGGTCCTTAGGGTTTAGGGTTTAGGGTTTAGGGTTTAGGGTTTAGGGTGCCTTACAATTATCTTTCTTGCTGATATGAGCAAACCCGTTATGTTCTGATCGCTTGTTCTTATCCTGAGGGAAGCATGGGTGTAGGGTTTAGGGTTTAGGGTTTAGGGTTTAGGGTTTAGGGTTTAGGTTTCTGGGCAAGGTTTTGGGTTAGGGTTGAGGTTCAGGGTTTAGGGTTTCAGGGCTTGGGTTATATGTTAAGGGTTCAAGGTTTGGTTTCAGTGAACTTTCATTCAGGTGGTTGAGAAGAGGATGGCAGATTGTTAACCCCCAAGCCCTAAACCCTAAACCCTAAACCCTAAACCCTAAACCCTAAACCCTAAACCCTAAACCCTAATTTTGTAGCATTCTGGAGTTTGGTCTCCCGCAAACCGTGGCTCCAGGATGGAGCCTCGGGGAACCCTACGCAGCCCTGAAAACGCCCCAAGACCCAACTTTTTCAACTTTTGGGCTTCTAATAGGGGAGTTCATTCTGCAAGTTTCAACGTTTATCTCCTTGGGTTTGGGGCCAGTAAGGAAAACTCCCCAAGACCCTTTCGAAGCTCCCAAAACCACCCTCAACCCTAAACTACCTACGGCTTAGTGTTCAGGATCCTAAACATGACACGCCCTGGAATCTTTCCCAAAGCCCAGAGAGATGCCCCAGACCCACAAACGCATCGTCAGACTCTCTGCCCATCCAGAGACAATTAAGGAGCAGTACTTAAACCCTCGAAACAACCCTCTTATACTTAAAGGAGTATTCCATAAACTCTCTAAGGAACCCTCTTATACTTTAAGGAAATTCGTCAAACTCTCTAAGGAAACCTCTGATACTTTAAGGAAGATTCCTTAGTTAAGGAAAACTCTAAACCCTAACCCCTAAACCCTAAACCTTAAACCTTAAACCCTAAACCCTAAACCCGTAACCTAACCCTAAACCCTAAACCCTAAACCCTAAACCTAAACCCTAAACCCTAAACCCTAAACCCTAAACCCTAAACCCTAAACCCTAAACCCTAAACCCTAGACCCTAAACCCTAAACCCTAAACCCTAAACCCTAAACCCTAAACCCTACCTACTTTAAGGAACCTTCCTGAACTTGAGGGTATTGCCCAGGCACAGCAGAAGCCGCCACAGCCCGAGCCTATCGACGCCGAGGCCTCGGGCAGCCTAAGCACTACTCCTTCCTAAGCTGTGGTTTAGGGTTTAGGGTTTGGGGTTTGGGGTTTAGGGTTTAGGGTTTAGGGTTCGGGGTTCGGAGTTTGGGGTTTGGGGTTTGGGGTTTTAGGGTGGTCTATGATTTAGGGTCTGGGTCTCTGGGAGAAGGAAGGGTGCGTGGACCCTCTTGGCAGTATTGCGGTGTCGCTCTCAGTCCGGCTGCGAAACGGGTACCGTAAACCCTGCTCAGCTCTGCAGGAGGCAAGGAAGCTAGGACCCAGAATAGGCCCCTATTCCTTTTTTTTGGTTTAGGCTTCCTTATGAGCCCCTTTAAAAACAAAAAAGGGCGCCCTTTTATTCCTAGGTTATCCTTGGTTTGGGAAGAAGTAATGGCAGACTAGACAGCGCGACAGGAGTGATTCGCAGGGTGGCTTCTCGTTCCCCTGTTTCGAACTGCTGCTTGGTGGGGGATTTTTGGAATTCGTTAATGTATATCGGCCTCTATCACCCTTGAAAGGATTTTGCATAATCCCTGGCGCCTAAATTCCCTACCCTAAACCCTAAACCCTCTGGACCGTAAGCCCTTCACCCTAAACCTTAAACTCTACAGACCTTAAACCTTATAGACCTTAATCCCTAAACCCTAACTCAACCTTAGTTCCCCTAAACCCTAAACCCTAAACCCTAAACCCCTGTAGACCGTAAGCCCGAAGTAGGCCGAAGATCAGCATGCGCAGGCCGATGTGACTCCGCCTCCATCCAGGCGGCTGCGCAACAGCAACGGAAAGGCTGGGTGGGAGGCAGTTAGGACCCTAAACCCTAAACCCTAACCCTAAACCCTAAACCCTAAACCCCAAGCCCTATAAGTCCTAAGCCCGCCCTAGGCCCTAAGCCCTAAAACCTAAGACCTAAACCCGAACCCGAAAGAACCCTAATTACACCCGAAAGACCAGGCTCCTCGGTACAATCCCGGTTCCCTGTCTTTCGAGGTTAAGTTCCCTTCTGCGCTCTATGCATCCCCATTGAAACGGGATTCAGGGTTTGCGGTAGATTCCTTGCTTTCTGCACAACCTGGCACCTATATCCTAAACCCTGAACCCTCAACCCTAAACCCTAAACCCAAAACCCTAAACCCTAACCCTAAACCCTAAACCCTAAACCCTAAACCCTAAACCCTAAACCCTAAACCCAGACATTTGTACAACTACGAGATTTAGAAGTGGGGGTTTTCGAAGTAGGGCACCCCTAAAATAGACCCGACAGAGTACAAGGTGGGGCCCCCTAGGAATAAATAGAGTCATAAGAGCCCTTAATTGGGTTATAAGGATCCTAAATTAGGTTATAAGTCCCTGAACTACAGCTAGTATAGTAAGGGGGCCCCTCCTTGTAGGATCCCCTTATAATAATCAGGACCCAAATAAGGCATCCTTAATCTCGTAAACGCCCATATACCAAAGCCCAGCACGAGCTTTGGAAAGGGGGGTGTGGCCGTCAGCAGAATGATATCAAGGGGCCCGCCAATTCCTTGCCACGGTTTAGGGTTTAGGGTTTAGGGTTTAGGGTTTAGGGTTTAGGGTTTAGGGTTTAGGGTTTAGGGTTTCAACCCAAGTTCAGGTCCTCAACGCACACACACACACACACACGCACACATCTTATTATTGAGGGCTTCCGAAGGATTTCGGCAACCCTCTCCGCTGCGCAGGTTCAGCCCATCCAGTTGTCCTTCTTCAAGGCCAGCGAGTCTACAGGCCGGATCTGGGTTAGGGGTTAGGGTTCAGGGTTTAGGGGGTTTAGGGTTTAGGGGCTGAGGGTTTAGGGGCTTAGGGGTGTAGGGGTTTAGGGGTTTAGAGTTTAGGGTTTAGGGTTTAGGGTTTAGATTTAAGGGCTCAACAAAAATCGAGGTCCAGGCGGTCTAGGGTGTAGAGGGCTCGCGTACGGGTTCTTGAAAAGCGGGCACTTCCGCAGCCCCTCACATGATTCTACAGGGGGGATATCAAGTGCCGAATTCCCGTACTTGCCTACAAAGAACGAGAAAGTTGAGTAGGGTTCAAAAGGGGTTTAGGGAAGTCCGGTGGCAAGGGGTAAGCTTACGGATTGCAGGGACGACGCGTGCGTGAGCCATGCACGCAGCCTCCATGCCTCTATTGCCGGGTCTTAGTAGAGCATGAGGGGCCTTTGCAGGGGATATGAAGGTACCTGACTCCCTCATGCCCTAAGAAGAACCAGGAAGGTACTTACCTCCATCTTTCGACTTCAAGATACGGCCTCTATAAACCCTCGACTCCCTGATCTTCCAAAAAACCCGAGTTTAGTGGTTTAGGGATGAACACCCCTAAATTCACAATATCGAACCCCGAAGAGCCTGAACCTTTAGTTCGGTTAGGGTCTTTGATAGGGTCTTTCTCGGATCTGGGATGGAGGGTTTGCGTGTTGAGAGCCCAAAGAAGGAAAGCTAACATCCCCAAACACCAGAACCCTCAAAGAGCCCCACAGAGCCAAATCGTAGGGTTTAGGGGTTTTAGGGTTTAGAGCCCTAAACCCTCAGCCCCTAAACCCTACACCAGCTTGGACCCCAAACCCTAGAGACCCTACACCCGAAACTCCAAACCCCAAGCTTCAGGAACGCAGCCGCCGACACCCAAGCCCAAAGCGAAGACCGCCCCTTGAGCCAAAAACGGAGAGCTTTTTTGGCAATCTTTATGGGGGGCGGGGGGGGGGGGGGGGGGGGGGGGGCGGATCAGTGAGTTTGGGCTTTAGGGATGTAGCAGTCTAGGATGTTAGGACTTAGGGTCTTGGGGAAGCAGGTTGTTTTTTTTTTCAGGTGACCTGCAATTCGGGCTCGCGGAGGTTGAAAGGCCTCTTGGGTCACAGGTTTCAGGTGCCTTCCGGACTGCTCGAAGCACCGAGCAGGTGTCCTGTAACCCCTTTGAGCGCAAGAAGCCCCAGAAAAGGCTCTTCAGGTGACTTTCTTGTGCGGGTTCCAGTGCCCTACCCGAAACCCGAAACCCTAAACCCGAAACCCTAAACCCTAAACCCTAAACCCTAAACCCTAAACCCTAAGAGAGAGAGAGAGAGAGAGAGAGAGAGAGAGATAGAGAGAGAGAGAGAGCGAGCCTCAAAACCCTCAAACCATTCCGGGCACCGAGGCTGCTAAGGGCAAGAAGCCTCCCACCGAGCCGACGCCAGGTGTGCCGCCATGTGTTGCTGGGAGGGTGATGGGTCGTCACAGCACCCTAAACCCTAAACCCCAAACCCTAAACCCTAAACCCTAAACCTCAAACCCCAAACCCTAAACCCGAAACCGGTGCTATAAGTTCCAGAATCCCAGCGTTTCTGCCTCGTCCTGTTTTCGATTTGAACAGAATGACCAATGAACAGCGTTGCAATCCTGCAGCTTTGGTCAAACAATCTGCAACTGCCCCCCCCCCCTCAAAACAAATTAATAAAATAAAAAACTCCAAACCCTAAACCCCAAAACCCCAAACCCTAAACCCTAAAACGCATGGCGCCTAGAAGTACGATGGTTGGCAAATTGAGCCCTACCTCCCCAATCTCCTCCCCTTACCACATCTATATCCTTTTCATACTCCCTCCAGATCCCTTCTCGGTAGTCCGCAAATACCTTCAACACTTCCTTTGGGACCAGTCCACCTGAGAGGCAAGAAAGGCCAGCCGGCAAAGACAGAGGCGAGCATGGTTTTTGTTGCGGTTGCTTGGGGTTTCGGGGTGGTGCCTTTGAACCCTCATAAACCCTCCCTAAACCCTCATAAACTTTCACAAACCCCCTCACAAAGCCGCATGAACCCTCAGCCCTGAACGGCAAACCCTGAGCCCAAGGAAGTAGTTGCGACTGCGGGTGAGAAGCCAGTTGCCGTGGGGCGGTAGCCTATAGAAGGCCCGGTAGTGGCCTCAGTCACAACCAAGTAAGTTTTCTGAACCTTCAAAATCCCCTGAACCTGACTAAACCGCTAACCTTTAAAACCTGAAGCCCCAAACTAAACCGCGAGTTTTAAGACCCTGAGAAGCCCTAAACCTCCAAACCTTCAAACCCTAAACCCTTAACCCCTTAAACCGTAAACCCTAAACCCTAAACCCCTAAACCCTAAACCCTCGACACTTCGAGCCGGCATGTCAGTGAGGTTGCGGAAGACGAGCCCAGATCTCCGTCGCGGGCCCAGGAGGGTCGAGGATCCTTTCGGTGCCTCTTAAGCTACAGGGGGATCCTCGGTTTAGGGTTTAGGGTTTAGGGTTTAGGGTTTAGGGTTTAGGGTTTGGGGTTTGGGGTTTAGGGTTTATAGGGTTTAGGGTGGTCCTCGGTAGCAACGCCAACTAGACTTGGTAATCCTCCCTCATCCTTGGGATGAACCCAGAATACAAAACCCTCAAGCTGACTGTTTGCAAAGTGCCCCAAGCAAGAGCCTCAAAAAGCAGGAGCATTTAGGGTTTAATTAGGGTTTAGGCTTTAGGGTTTAGGGTTTAGGGTTTAGGGTTTAGGGCAGAGGCCCGAGCCGGCAGCAGAGAAGACGGATGAGGCCCTAGGGAAGGCGGAGGCCAAAGAGGACGGACCTTTCCCCCCCTCCCCCCCGTCTTGGAGCCCTGAGTTCTGACCCTTGCAGTTTAAGGTTTAGGGTTTAGGGTTTAGGGTGGGGTTTATGGCATAGGGTTTGGAGGATTTATAGGGTTGGTAGGGTTGTTTGGGCGTAGAGTGTTTATAGGGTTTGTAGAGAGTCTGATCTTACAGGATGTGCAGGGTTTATGGGGTGTACAAGGTTTTGCAGGGCTGGGGTATTAGGTCTTATAGGCATGATTGGTAGGGTCTCGTCTATATTGCAATTCAAAACGAGATGCTGTCTGGGCTAGGGGCGGTAAGATAGTCATCTCGCGTGGCTGTTAAGGCTAGAGTTTTGAGCGATTGAATGTGTTCAGCGCAGCCCGTCCAGTTTCCTCGAGCAGACTGCCCACATGGGAAGCCAAATGGGTATCTCCCAAACCCTAAACCCTACACGCCAGACCCTAAACCCTAAACCCTTAAAAGAAATTCTTTAAGAAACAGAGGATGCTCGGGAAGCCTTGGTCTACGGCCCAAAAGTTCTAAATCTCATACCCCCAAACCCAAACCCCAAGACCCAAACCCTAGATCCGAAAACACCCAGATCCAAGAAATCCTGGGATCTAGGGTTAAGAGTCTAGCCAGTTTCAGGGTTTAGGGCCTAGGGCTTCGGGGTCCGTAAACCCCTAAGCCAAGTCATTTGCCGACGCTGCATTTCTGCCGAAAGAACCCTGGAAACTCCCGAGAGGACCAGCGGGGCAAGCTTGTCGCAGCCTTCAACCGTGCAGTTCCAGGCACGGGGGGCCGTAAGGGCGCTGGAGGTGCGCTTAGGGATTTCGGGTTGAACATTTTAGGGTTTAGGATTTTGGATTTGTTGATTTTAGGGTTTTAGGTTTTCAGGGTTGTAGGATTTTCGGATTTTAGGGTTTTAGGGTTTTAGGATTGTAGGATTTTAAGATTTTAGGGTTTTAGGATTGTAGGATTGTAGTTTCTTGGGTTTTGTGTGTTTGGGATTCGGGTTGCGGTAGGACGTTGAGGACTTGGAGCTTGTTTCTGGTTCAGGATTTAGGGTTTAGAGTTTAGAGCTATGTCCTGGTGATAGATGGTTTTAGTGCTTTGGGAGCTTCGCGCTTTCGGGCTTGGGGCTTATTGCCTTCATGGGTAGTAGGGGCATTTGGGCTCCTGTTTAGGGTTTAGGGTTTGGGGTTTGGGGTTTAGGGTTTAGGGTTTGGGGTTTGGTGTTCAGGGATGGACTGCAGTGCTTGGTGGTCCCAGCTGATGCTGAGAGCGTTTGTCACCCAAGGGCCTTTGATGCTGCTCTAGGAGGGCGGCTCGCTCTAGGCCTTCAAGTGCTTCCTGGGTTTTCAGCTGAAAGCCCGACACCTTAAACACGTAAACCTAGACCCCTGAAACCTTAAACCCGAAGAACCTTAACCCCTAAACCCACACCCCTAAACCCTAACTCCCTAAACCCTACACCGCTACCCGGAACCCTAAACCCCATAACCCCAAACCCTAAACACCTTAACCCATAAAACCCGCACCCCCAAACCCTAAACCCCTAAACCTTACACCCCTACCCCGAAACCCTAAACCCTAAACCCCACACCCCTAAACCCCGAAACGCTAAACACCTTAACCCCTAAACCTCACACCCCTCAACCCTAAACCCCAACACGCTACACCCCTACCCCGAAACCCGAAACCCGAAACCCGAAACCCTAAACCCTAAACCCTAAACCCTAAACCTCCGAGAAAGGCCTCAAGCATGGCCAGACGGTGCTCCTTGAAGAGCCACCCGCGCCGGTGCGAGCCCTTTAAGGGTTCTTAGGGTTTAGGGTTTAGGGTTTGGGGTTTGGAGTTTAGGGTTTAGGGTTTAGGGCTTAGTGTTTAGGGTTGAGGGTTTCATGGGACAAGGGGTAGCTTTTGGGGTTTAAGGTTTTTTGGGGGGGCTTGTGGAGGGATTCTAGGGTCTAGGGTTTGAGGTGTTAGTTCTTGAAGCTTGCTTGACTTGGGCTTACTTGGAGGTCTCATGTGCAACTGCATTGTGCTTGATTTTTGTGTGGTGCGCATTTGTTGTTTGAGCCCTTAGAGGGGCTCTACGTTCCAGATCCTTTCTCCGAGGTAGGCATGACGATGCCTGAGTCCTAAAGCCTAAAGCCTAAGCCCGAGCCCTGTAAACCCTAAACTCTATAAACCCAAAAAGACCTATACACCTTGTAATACATCCTTTAAACCTCGTAAACCCTATAAACCCCATAAACCCCATAAACCCCATAAACCCCATAAACCCCACAAACCCTGACCCTATAAACCCCATAAACCCTACAAACCCTTCAAACCCTATCAGCTCTGTACACCCAATACACCTTAAAAACCCTATAAACCCTAGAAAACCCATAAACCCCATAAGCCCCATAAACCCCATAAACCCCATAAACCCTATAAACCCTATAATCCTAAGCCCTACACGCTAAACCTGCCCCCATGAATCCTCCGCAATGCCGAGGCAGCGGAAACGGCAGCAGCATCGCCCGATGCCAGGCCAGACAAGACCAGCCTCTGAGACTTTCGGTTTAGGGTTTAGGGTTCAGGATTTAGGGCTTAGGGTTTAGGGTTCAGGGTTTAGGGTTCAGGGTTTAGGGTTTAGGGTTAGGTTAACCCATAAACCTTCAAGCCTATGGCCCAAAACCCCAAACCCTCTAAACCCTAAGCTTTGTACCCTCTAACCCGGCTAGTTGCACTAGCTTGGAGCCCGCTGTGGCAGAGCCTGCTTGCCGGAACCCTATAATATTTATAACCCTATAAACCCTAAACCCTAAACCCTATAATATTTATAACCCCCCCCCTCCCCCCAAGGCTAATTTAGGTGACGCCCATACTTGGGCCTCCATGCCATGAGACTTCTGCTTCGGGGCATCTTTACCTCGCCTCGCCTCCGCTACATCGCACGGGCAGGTGAGAGCCACTAGAGGCATTAGATTTCTCACAAGTGTGAGCCCAAACACTGCTTAAGCTATAGAACCTAAACAGCCTTCAATCTAACACCCAGCCTCCAACCCTCCGAGGGCCTTGGGATGTCTAGACGTCTTCAGAGGGGCTTAGGTTTTAGGGTTTAGGGGATAGGGTTTAGGGTCTAGGGTCTAGGGTTTAGGGTGAGATCCGGCCCCCCCAGTGCCAGCCCCGCCAGGCCGAAAGAGTCGATGTCGAAGAGGCCCGCCCTGACGTCCCCCCAAAGCCGGGTTGAGGGTTGAGACCTTAGGGTTCCCGAATCACCCCTTTTTTTGGGGGTTTAGGCTTTAGGGTTTAGGGCTTAGGGCTCTACTTTCCCGATGTTCACCTCCTTAAGCATTCAAAAACACGTTTTGTATTTCACTCCGGGTTTCCTGCAAATCTTACAGCAACTCCAGTAAACAGGGTGGCTTGGGATTCACAAGGCACCGTAAAACTTGGTATGTTCCCCCTATACAAGCAGTCCTTAATCGCGACTATAGTAGGGGGCACAATAATCCCTATTAAGGACTCTTAGTATAAGACTAAACCCTAAGCCCTAAATAGTCCCTATTAAGGAGCTGTTCGTATAAGGAGGAACATCCCTCAAAGCCTGAAACTTCACCAGGAAGAAGAAGGACAAGGACGAGAAAGCGCAGCCGGACGTAGGTGCTGCAGGGGTGCCGGGAGATTATGGGAGATCGAAACGAGCTTCCAGGGATGTGGTTGGTTGATCTGAACCCTACACCCTGAACTCTAAAGTCCCAAGCCCTATAAATTCTGGATTCTGAAGCACTAAAACTCCCCAAAACCCTCAGGGTCTTTCTTCGGGCGACCAGCTCAGGGCGTCTTTAGAGGATCTGAAGGGGTGAGGGACTGAGAAGGTGCCTGTAGATGCACGTTTAGGGTGACCTTGAAAGCCAGTAGACTATAATTATGGGCTACAGTTTCCTATTTCTGGGCGGTATAGGAGCCTCTTATTTTTGGGTAGCTAGGCGTTTAAGGTAGGGCAGAGGGTCTCTGGTTTAGGGCCTAGGGTTGTTTAGGGTTGGGGGTTACAGCTTGAGGACCGTCGGCCCTTCTGGTACGGAGTTTTGGGCGAAAGTTATTGAGCGAGTTTCATTTTTGATATAGATAACCCGAAACCCTAAACCCTAAACCCTAAACCCTAAACTCGTGTCCGGAGTCCCGGGAGGGCCTTCGCGGTTTGTCAGCTGTTTAGACAAGCAGCGTCATAGCCTCCTGCATACCAGAAGAAACCCCAACCCACCCATCCCATCCCCTATATCCCCTCGTTTTTTTTAATAAAAAAATTTCGTTTATAGAAAACCCAAGAGGATATTGAACCACCACCTATATCCCCCTTGGGGAATTATTTTCTATTTTTGTAGGGGATTTGAAAATGCTAATTTTTGATTACCTCCTGCAAGGCTCTTCCAGCAGCAAGAAGAAGGCTCCGGAGGCCCGCCGCAAGGACTTTGCCTGACAAGTCTGCCCTAAAAACCCCCAAAAAAACCCTAAAAGCCCTAAAGCCCCAAACCCTAAGGCCCTAAAGCCCTACCAGATGTGGCGCTTAAGGGAGTGGGAGCGTGCACCCTGTCAGGTCAGCTATGAATAACCTCAACGGAGCACAGTTAATCCCACTGCAGATCGGGGGGCGAAGAGGGGGGGTGGGGGGCTAGAGTAAAAACCATGGTTGTTTGCAGCAACAACCATAAGAAACCAATCGGTAGGATGAGGGGAAATGTGTACCTCTTATGATAAAGTGTTAAGCTTGAAATCGACGAGTTCGGAAGGGGGGTGGAATGTTGAGGATTTTTCGGGTTTAGGGTTCTCAGGGTTCAGGGCGCTGGGAGGAAGATGAGCTCATGCGGTTTGTGATGCCCCAGTCATGACCAGAGTAGTGAGAGGCAGCCGTAGCTCCTTGAAGCCAATTTGAAGTTTGCAGGGGTGCTCTCTGCGGTTGGGGCGGCTCCGCTTGCGGGTTTTTGGGTTTAGGTCTGGGGCGGCTCTGTTTAGGAGGGGTTTGGCCTTAACTCAAACTTGCTGGATCGCGGAAAGCGGCATAAGGGGACTGCATCGATGTTAGAGTATAAACACGGGCTGTGGCGAGCGTGAGCGTCGAACCCCGAACACTCTACACCCCTGAACCGCCAGAACCCTGAACCTTAAACTGCCCTAAACCCTAAACTGCCCTAAACCCAAAACCTTAAACCCTAAACCCTACCCCTAAACCCTAAACCCTAAACCCTAAACCCCAAACCTTACCCCTAAACCCCAAAAGGTCCCGAATTCCGGTGCTGGCCAGGCTCCCCAACCAGCGGATGTCGAGGCGCCCGCGCCCCCCACAACGAGGCCGAGGGACGCAAAGAGCGAGAAGGGCCTACAGGCCCTAACCATCTGGAAAAACCAGCACTTTCGCTGGAAACTACCATGCGAACCTGCTCCGCTGGAAAGTTTCCATCGATTCCACAACTTCATGCCATGGAGTCCTATGGGTTCCTCTCTGAGTTTTCAATGTCCCTTCCTTCGCTGGGTTTTCAATGTCCTTTTCGCTGGGTTTTGATTCTGCTCTTCGCTGGGTTTTGAATGGCTGTCGCTGGGTTTTCAATAGTTTTGAATGTCCTGTGAAGATCTGTGAAAACCTGTGAGAACCTGTGAAAACCTGTGAAAACCTGTGAAAACCTGTGAAAACCGGGTGAAGACCTGTGAAGACCTGTGAATCCTTGACACCCCCCAACCCTGAACCATATCTGTGTGTCCTCCTGTTTCGCTGGGTTTCTCTTACAGGTTCGCTGGGTTTTTGTAATGGATTCCGCTGGGTTCTTCGCTGGATTTTTGATGCACATTCAAGCATGTGGTTTCGCAGGAAAATACCAATAGGTCGCATTTCGCTGGAAATTACCATGTGGATCCCGGTTTTCTTTGTGGCTGATGCATAGGGGGGTTTAGGGCTTAGGGTTTAGGGTTTACAGGCTTATGGGCTCAGAGGGTTTTGGGGGGCATGGGGCCGGTGTGTTGATGTCTAGGGACATGCCCAGCTTTCCGTCGCTTTGTCTTGTGCCTTCGGGTGCAAGGTGCACAGTCCGCCAGGGCAAGGCCTAGACGTGGGCATCATTCTGCCAAGTAGCAACCTGAGGCCAATAAACCCAAAAAGGACCCAAACCCCAAGCTGCAACTTGAGAACTAACCCTAAACCATAAAACCCCTAAACCCTTGTAGCCAGTTTGCCTCAAGTAGAAGAGTCTCCCGCGCGCGACAACGCGCTGACAAACTCTCGGCTGGCAACTTGGCTTTCTTCTGGCAGGCTCTTAGGACTTTTACCTTCTGAGTTCTTGTAGAAAGTACGAGAAGGAGCCTAAAAGTGAAGCTTTTAGGAGGTGGTAACCCTGAGCCCTAAACCCTAAACCCTAAACCCTAAACCCTAAACCCTAAACCCTAAACCCTAAACCCTAAACCCTAAACCCTAACCCCCTAACCCCCTAACCCCCCTAACCCCCTAACCCTAAACCCTAAACCTTAAACCCTAGGGTTCAGATGTCAGCCGAGGCAATGTCCTGGCTCGCAGGCCTCATGGGGTCGGCCCCCGTGACCGCAGGCCTGGCTGACCGCGGCAAAGGACGAGGCTTGGGTACTATAAGGTAGATGTAGGGTTTAGGGTTTAGGGTCTCGGGTTTAGGGTTAATTACCCTATAAAGCCCCGTATATACCTAAGTAGCACCAAAAGAACCTGTAAATGACCCCTAAGGTCCCTTGTAAGGGTCCCTCCTTTAGTCCCTTGAGAGGCCGTGTCTATGACAACATCACGGAAACCGTTGGAAACACGCCTTGCGTGAAGATCTCTGAGGAGATATGCCCCAAGGGCCGCACCATCTACGCCAAGCTGGAGTATCTTACTGTTGTTTAGTAGGGAATGGGGGAATGAGGTACCCTATATAATCCTTTAAAGGCTATTGCCCTGCTAACCGACAGTAAGGTATTTCAACCCCCTCTCCAGCGTGAAAGATCGCCTGGCCTGTGCCATCATAGAGGACGCAGAGAAGCTCTGGTAGCCCACCAGTGGCCATTTTCCACTTGTTTTGGGTTCAAGGTTCCCCTTTCAAGTAGCTCCAGACCCCGAACAAGGGTACCCTGCCTATAATATGGTTGCTGCACCCCTAAACCCTAAACCCTAAACCCTAAACCCTCAACCCTGTGGTTTTTGGGGGCTACCAAGGAAGAAAGGCCAGCTCAAGCCGGGCGACACGGTGATTGAGGCCACCTCCGGAAACACGGGCATTGCCGTGGCGATGCTCTGCGCCCAGCGCGGAGACTTGGTAGCTGCCAGTGGTACCCTCTTCTTTTTGTTTGGACGGGGGGGGGGGGGGGGGGATTTCTGGGTTCCCTTACACAGTAACCAGGCCCTGCACCGCAAACCCTAAACCCGAAACCCTAAAGCCTAAACCCTAAACCCTAAGCCCTAAACCCTAAACCCTAAACCCCTACCATCCGATGCTTACCGGGTTCTAGCAAGGGTACAAGTGTGTCATCACCATGGCCGAGCCTTTCTCCATCGAGCGCAGGAAGCTGATGCGCTTCATGGGCGCCAAGGCTGGGGTTGTGGCCCTAAACCCTAAACCCTAAACCCTAAACCCTAAACCCTAATCCCTAATCCCTAATCCCTAAACCCTAGTCGTATACACATGATTTCCACAGGGTCTAGAGCGCTCGGGAGGTGATCATCACGCCCAAGGCAGGCAAGGGAACCGGCATGGTCGCCAAAGCGAAGGACCTGGCTGGTTCTTAGTAGGGGAATGAGGGAAGGGTTTAGGGTTTGGGGTTTAGGGTTTAGGGTTTAGGGTTTAGGGGTTAGGGGTTAGCGTTTAGGGTCTTTTGTTTAGGGCCCCTATATAATCCCTTGAAGGCTATATATAGGAGTCGAATTCCCTCATTCCCTACAAAGAACCAGCCAGAGGAGCTTGCAGAGAAGCACGGCTGGTTCCTCTGCCGGCAGTTCGAGAACGAGGCAAACGCAGAGTTCCACTACAAGACCACCGGCCAGGAGATTCTGAACGACTTCCAAAACATGAACCTTACTTTAATGGTTAGCAAAAAATGAGGGCAGTTACGGCCCTACTTATTGTACCCTTTTAAGGGATTCTCAGGGAATTAGAGCCCTGTTTATTGTACCCTTTAAGGGATTCTATAGGGTACCTCTTTCGCCCCAAATTCCCTACAAAGCCAACAGATAAGGAAGTTGGACTACTACGTCCTGGGCTATGGCACCGGCGGCACTTTTGCGGGCGCCGGGAAGGCTATCAAGGAGAAGCGCCCAGACGTGAAGATCTGCTTGGGCGAGCCTGCCGATGCCCCGCTTGCGGCTAGGATGCCCAGTAGTGCCCTTATTTCCTTTTTTTTTTTTTTGGGGGGGGGGGGGGCTTTAGGTTCCCTTACAAAACCCCTTTTGGCAAAAATGGGGCACCCAATTTCATCCTAGGTTACTGGGGGATCTTTGTTGCCCTAAACCCTAAACCCTAATTCTAAACCCTAAACCCTAAACCCTAAACCCTAAACCCTAAACCCCAAACCCGCATCCTAGGTGGCTTCCGGAACCAAGACCGAGCGAAATGCGGATGGGTCGGCCACCGGCTCCCACCCGGCCTTCAAGCCCCACCCCATCCAAGGCTGGACCCCCGACTTCATCCCACAGATTCTAGGTAGCCGAGTGGTACCCTTTTCAATTTGTTTTGGGTTATGGGTTCCCTTCTAGGGGTTTAGGGTTTAGGGTTTAGGGTTTAGGGTTTACCCTTATCAGAATGTGGTTGCTGGGCTACTAAGGATTGCGGAGAAGGGCATTTCAGACACGGGCTACGACGAGTTCGCGCCTTGGTAGCTGAGTGGTGCCCTGTTGCCCCCTTTGTGTTTGATTCTAGGTTCCCTTTTAAAGCATTACAACCCCAATTTAAGGGTGCCCTTGCTATCAGAACCCTAAACCCTAAAGCCTAAACCCTAAACGGCCCACCAAGGTGCCCATCCCAGGTCAGGCTGCCATTGACATGTCTCAGGCCTTGGCAAAGACACAGGGCATCTTCACCGGAATCTCCGGGGGTGCCTCCATGTAACCTTGGCGCCATCAGGGTTTAGGGTTTAGGGTTTAGGGTTTAGGGGGTAGGGCATCCTCTATGTTCCTAGGCGTTTGGAGGGTTTAGGGTGTTAGGGTGTTAGGGTTTGGGGTTTAGGGTTTAGGGTTTAGAGTTTAGGGTGGGTTAAGGGTTTAGGGCATCTTCACCGGAATCTCCGGAGGTGATTGCATGTACCCTAGGAGCCAGTGAGCAGGGCCCTGAAGACGCCCCCTTGTTTTGACATTAGGTTCCCCTTCAAGAAGCCATTTTTTGTTTGAAAAAAAGGGGCGCCCCCTCTTGTGTTCCCGGGAAAACTCAAACTTGGGACCCTAACCCCAAACCCTAAACCCCAAACCCCAAACCCCAAACCCTAAACCCCTAAACCCCTAAACCCCTAAACCCCTAAACCCCGAAACCCTAAACCCTAAACCCTAATTCCCTAAACCCTAAACCCCAAACCCTAAACCCCCCTAGACCCCTAAACCCCTAAACCCCCAAACCCTAAACCCTAAACCCTAACCCCCAAAACCCCTAAACCCCAAACCCTAAACCCTAAACCCCTAAACCCTAAACCCCCAAACCCTAAACTCCAAACCCTAAACCCTAAACCCTAAACCCTAAACCCCAAACCCTAAACCCTAAACCCTAAACCCTAAACCCCCCCTCCCCCAGGTACGCGGCAGTAGAGATGGCCAAGAAGGCCCCCGAGGGCTCCGTCTTGGTGGCGATGTTGGCCGACACCGGGGAGCGCTCCTAGGACCCAGAGTTGGCCCTTCTTTCCTAGGGTTTAGGGTTTAAGGTTTAGGGTTTAGGGTTTAGGGTTAAGGTTTAGGGTTTCGGGTTTAGGGTAACTAGGACCCAGAGTGGGCCCGCATTTCCCGTTTTGTAAGGGTGTAGGTTTCCCCTGTAGTCCCCCTTTAAAAAAAGGGGCGCCCTTGTTACTCCTGGGTGACTCTTCGGTCAGGTAGCCCTAAACCCTAAACCCCAAACCCTAAACCCTAAGCCCTAAACCCTAAACCCTAAACCCTAAACCCTAAACCCTAAACCCTAAACCCTACACCCAGGCTACCTCTCCACCCCCCTCTTCGCCGCCATCAGCGCCGACATGAACGAGGAAGAGCTGGCCATCTCCAAGTCGACCCCGAACTTCCAGCTCTGAAGTCATGGTAGGGTTTAGGGTTTAGGGTTTAGGGTTTAGGGTTTAGGGTTTAGGGTTTAGGGTTCAGGGTTCAGGGTTCAGGGTTCAGGGTTCAGGGTTCAAGTTTCAGGGTTTTGGGTTTAGTAGGGTTTGTAAGGTTCCCTTGTTTTTTCAGGAAACCCCTTTTTAAACCCTAACAAACAGCTCTGAAGTCTTCATTGGAAGGCTCCTCTAAACAACCCTTCAACTTTATAAAACCTCAACAAAAACCCTTGTCAGCCCTGGTAGATCTTAGTTATAAGGTTCCCGTCTTTTTTTGAAACCCTTAATACGAGTCCTACTTAGAAGGTTACCTTATTTTTCGTCAACAAATCCCTAACAAGAACCCTTAAAAAGCCGTGTAAGCTGTGGAGGAGCCTTTGAAAAGCTCCCTGTATATTTTTTTCCCGTGTGCGCAGCCCGTGAGGGCTCTTAATCCCATGGCTACCGGGACTACCGTTCCGGTTTTTGCAAACGTCGCCCAAAAAGGGGCGAAGAGCGCTGCACTTCTTGCAGGAAGGTAGTTTAGGGTTTAGGGTTTAGGGTTTAGGGTTTAGGGTTTAGGGTTTAGGGTTTAGGGTTTAGGGTTTAGGGTTTAGGGTTTAGGGTTTAGGGTTTAGGTGTGCATCCACTTTCTTGCTTGGAAAGCCAAAGCCCTTGCACCCCTTTCAATGTGACCTATGTAGGGGTTTCCGAAAATAGGGGTACCCTTTTTCTTACTTGTCCAACAGCTGAACTTTAAACTTTTTGGGTTTCCTTATTTCGTAGGAATATTAAAGTTTAACCTTTGTTTTTCCCCTTGGTTATTGGAGAAGTTTTTGGCGGGTCCCTTTTAAGGGGATTCGATTCTATTTGGGGGTATAAAACGGGTACCCCTATTTTGGGAAACAACCATGTAGCCTCCAATGAATTTGAATCTTGGGATGTTCCCCCTTAATTATACAAACAGCTCCCCCTTAATGCTACTAACAGCTCCCTAATATAATAGGGATTATAGTTAGGGGTACTACAATCCCGCTTAAGGGCTGTTAGTATAAGGGGGCCAAAGTGAATCCTTTGTTAGTGTTCTGTGTGCAGTTGTTCACTAATTCTGGGTGATGTTTTGGGTCTAGTGGGCGGTGATTATTGTGTCTTGTTAATTCGGATATGCTGAGTTTTGCCAGGGTTAGCACGTGTGTTCGTATGTTGCTTTTTGCCATGCATCTGGTTCCTGGTAAGAGTAGTTTGAGGAGAACACTCCCCCTTGAGTGGGAGGTGGTGCATAACCTGGGATCTCTGTGCACTGTTCGCTTCCTTGTGGGTTGTGGGATCTTTTTGATTTATGTATTTGGTGGTAGTGGTTGTTTCGGATGAGCTTTCAGGGGAGGGTGAATGTAGCCCCTAGTGAGCAGAGGGCTGTACATAGCCAACCAGGGGCAGAACTCATGGACCGGCGAAGTTGGAAACCTTTATTTCTGAGGGTAGATGATTCGCATGGGGGGGGGTGGGGGGATCTTAACTTAGGACTTCTTGCGGAGTCGTCAGGCGCGCAGTGATCCATCCCCCAACTTTAAAACCCGGCTCATGTGTTGATTTGTAGGGTGTTTGCCTGGTTGTTGCGAAGGGCTATCGGCGGGGGAATGCGGGGGCTGGTGCTAACTGGTGCTAGCGTTTCAAGCTGATCCACCTGTTCCCGATGGACACGTGTTTTGCCTGCAGTGTGACTTTAAGTTTGCTAGGCAGGTGGCAAAAGAACCTTAAACCCTAAACATCCCTAAACCCTAAACTGCACCCTAAGCCCAACGGCACGGCGTTTAACAGCAAAATGTTTATGGCCTCGAGTCCGAGTTGGGCATTCTTTAAGATATCCCTTAGTGTCAGGGTTTGGGGTTTAGGGGTTTACTTGAATCCTCATCAGGGGAACCGCCCAAATTTTGAACGTTCGTACCTCTTCAAGTTTCCACATCCCCATTGACGATTGGGCTTGGGCAGGCCAGCCAAAGAAGCAGCGCCGAAGAGGCAGCCTTCTGGCTGGTTCTTAGTCAGGAATGAGGGAATTAAGTTCCGGCGCCTTGTATGAAATCTCCCCCCTATCTTACCCCTTGGCTTTAGTCAGTGTAGGGTTCCGGCTAGTCCTATAAACAGGGTAGACTTGGGCTTCAACGTAGTTCCCATTGCTTTAACCTCGAAACCCTAAACCCTACGCTAAACCCTAAGCCCTAAACAGCCTAAACCCTTAAGCCCTAAACCCTAAACCCCAAACTCCTGACCCTGTCAAGTTTTTTCGGGCCCTATGTCTCCAGCCGCAGGAAGAAGCGGGAGGAGAAAGCAGCGCAAAGTTCAGGCCAAGCCTTGTTAGTTTATTTAGTTTTTTAGCTTTAGGGTTTAGGGTTAGGGTTTAGGGTCGCGTAGAGCCCAGATTGTAGGAAGGGATTAGGGATCTAGGTTAACAGTTGTCTTGCAAGAAGGATGTTTTTTCAAACATGCGCTCTGATGTTGTGTCATCCTGTGTCATGTCTTGCACCTCAGGCCGGAGCGCCCACAGTCCTGGGATAAGAAGGTTTGACGCTCCTTTGTTTGTGCTCAGCTTAGAGGTGTACAACATGCTTTCTTTCTGAACCCCAAAACCCACAAGGGTTTCGGGTCTAAGGGTAGGGTTTAGGGTTTAGGATGTAGATGGATGTAGGGTTTAGGGTTTTTAGAAGGTTTAGGGTTTAGACCCTATAGACCCTGCAGAGAGGGGAGTCGGCTTGAGGAGTTCGGTGCTAAGCTTCGTCCTTCCTCCGGCCAGGTTCTGCCGCCAAGGAGAAGCCGACGCAGGTGCCGCGAGCGGGGTGTCAGGTTTGTAGGGCTTAAGGCTTATAGAGGGCCCACCCCCCCCCCCCCCCGGCCGAAACTTGGACACTTAAAGCCTTATAGTCCCTGTAACCCTGTAATATTACACTCCCTAAACTCTAGCCTGCCGCCCATGCGAGAGTAAGAGTCGGCACCCCAAACCGTTGAACCTCATAGCTTGCGTTGCCGCCATCCTTCAGCCGTTATCCTCACAGTCCCATGGGGCTCCTCTACATCCTTTTTCGGAAAGAAAACCCACGACCCACCTCAGTCAAGATTCCTCAGTAGAGTTTTTTTTTTTTTTTTTGTCAGGTTTGGGGTTGTATACAGGTTGCTTGTAACCTTACACCCTGCACCCTTAAGCCCTGATATTCAATGCAGTCAGGGGCAGGTGGGAGGGAGGGCCTCGTGTTTCTAAGGGTTTTGGGGGAGGGCTCAGGTTGTCCCAAGGGAAAAGCAACCTTGGACCTTGGCCATAATTACGCCTTGATGCCCCAAGTAGTGAGACGGGTTTAGGGTTTAGGGTTTTAGGGAGTAGCTGATGAAAGTTCAGCAGGTGGCGCTTATACAGTTGATTGGTATGTGCTGCCCTTCCTCCCGGTTGTTTCGCATAGTACTGGCTACACCCTCAGTCCAGTGGCAAAAGGGTTTAGGGTTTAGGCCTCAGGGCTGGGGGCTACAGGGCTCAGGGTCATAATCATGTCCAGCGTTAAAGCCAGGTCCACGTCGAACTCTAACTGTCCCCGAAACTCCTAATTAAGCCCTAAACCCTGAGCCCTATAAGTTTATAAGCCCTACACCCTAAACCCCAAACCCTATAAGCCCTAAACCGCAAACCCTGTTCCCCTGGCCAGCACACGAGGCGGTGGATGCCGAAAAGAGTGCGCCGCCACAGCCAAGGCACAGTTTCTCGAGCCCGAAGCACCAAACGTCGCTTTTAAAGGCTACAGACTTGATAGCCCAGTGGTACCCTTTTTCCCTTTTTTGGTTCAAGGTTCCCTTACAAACCCTAAACCCTAAACCCTAAACCCTAAACCCTAAACCCTAAACCCTAAACCCTAAACCCTAAACCCTAAACCCTAAACCCTAAACCCTAAACCCTAAACCCTAAACCCTAAACCCTAACCCTAAAGTAGCTACCCCCAAAAAGGGGTGCCCTTACTGTAAGATGGTGACTGGGCCACCAAGCAGACGAACATGGAACACACGCCCATCCAAGCTGTCCATTTTGACCTTTGCTACTCGGTCTGTGGTGTGGCGTGCAGGAAGAAGCGAGAAGAAAAGCCGCCAGAACATCCAGGCACGGGAAGTTACAAGTAGAGTTATAAGGGCCCTAAATTGGGTTATAAGGACCCTAAATTAGGTTATAAGTCCCTTAACTACAGTTAGTATAGTAAGGGGGCCCCACCCTGTAGGATGACGTGCAGTGGATATGTCGGCTGTTGGGGGTTCTGGAGATCAAGTGCTTACTCTGTTGGTAGGCTCTTTGGCCTCCACGGGGCTTTATGGATTTTAGGCTTTGGCCCCTTCAGCAGGCCTCTGGAGGCTTGTCTGTGTTAAGTTCTGTCGATTGCAGCATATGGGGGTTTCCGAAAATTGGGGTACCCTTTCGGGGGTTCCTACAATAAGGGTTAAATACTATTTTGGGGTATATTAAAGGTACCCCCTATTTTTGGACATGCCCAATATAGAGATCAATTGGGCGCCAGGTTCGTCCAACGTCAAAGCTGCTCCTGCGGAGGCGGACTCTTTGGGCTCACCCGTTGCGAGATTTTGGCAAGGCAGCCAAGTTTAGGGTTTAGGGTTCGGGTTTAGGGTTGAGGGTTTTGCTTTCAAGGTGCAGCATTATGAGCGGATACAACTAACTTCCCGAATGACAAGTAGCTACTAGGTTCCATGAGCCTTCAAGCAGAGCCCGTAAACCCCGCTAAACCCGATAAACCCTATCACCCCTACAAACCCTACAAACTCTACAAACCCTACAAACCCTAAGCTCTAAACCCTAAACCCTAAACCCTAAACCCTAAACCCTAAACCCTAAACCCTGAGTGATGGCAGGCCGCGGCCGAGACGGTCGACGTCCAGGCGCCTCCGTCGACGGAGACAAGGCCGGCGGCAGCCCAGTGGCCCATGCTTCGCTTGAGGTTTAGGGTTTAGGGTTTAGGGTTTAGGGTTTAGGGTTTAGGGTTTAGGGTTTAGGGTTTAGGGTTTAGGGTTTAGGGTTTAGGGTTAGGGTTATAGGGTTACAGGGTTTAAGAGTTTAAGATTTAGGGTTCGCCTGTGCAGATTCTACGAATACGAATTCTCGCCTATAGGGTTCTAGCTTCAAAGAACCCCTACAGGCCTACAGGATAAAAAGGAGCCCCTGTGATTGTAGTAGTTATCTTCGTCTTTGGTCCCAAACGAAATCCTAGCTTCTATTCACGTTCCGAGCATCTCTGGCTCTCTGAGACAGAGGTCGTATATGCATTATAAGTATATACAGATATACCTACTAATTGTTGACTATATCTGGATCTATATATATATATATATATGTATATATACACGTGTGTGTGTGCGCGTGTTCTACCTGTAGAACCTTAGTCTGGGTATCCCTGACATGACAAGTCTCCATGAGCCCTTCAAGTGCAGGCCAGACAAGAAGGCAGCGGCGAAAAGGCCCAGATCCCATCCCGAGCTTGGAGCCATGATCTCCGTTTAGGGTTTGGGGTTTGGGGTTTAGGGTTTAGGGTTTGTGGTTTGGGGTTTGGGGTTTGGGGTTGGGGTTTGGGGTTTAGGGTTCAGGGTCCCAAGATGCCCCAAGCAATGCTGCACCCAGAATGCTCCAAAAGCGCCAAGCCTCAACCCCTATAAACCCCTAGCTTATCCAGCTGCAAGCCCCATCCCCTTGTCAACCCCCCTGAACCTCCAAAAACCCCTTCCAACCTCTAACCCCCAAGCCCACAGCTTTGAATCTTCACTCCTTAAGGCCCCTCTCAAGGCAAGAAATACACGAATATATACATATATATATATATATATATAACATCGGTGGTTGCCTTGGCTGGAAGAGGGCCCTGGATGTTCTTGCCGTATTAGGGTGTTCACATGCCGTGTTTCTGAGAGGCGACAGTTTCCATTTTTGTTTTTGCGGAGGTTGCTTTTGATATTTCTCTTGCAGAATTTCCGGGGGTGATGAAGGTCTCGCGTCGCAGTTCCGAGGCTTAACTAACCAGGAGTTGAATCGAAATTGTCGAAACCGCCTTGGTATGGGAAAAGGCCCTAAGCAAGCCCGAATTTTCGCCTGCAAACTCAGAGCCTGGTGAATGTAGTCATTGGATCTAAACAGGCCTCAGAGAGTTCTCAGAGCCTTGGGGGAAGCCCACAGGCAACACCAAACCCTATACCCTAAACCCTCAACCTAAACCCGAAACCCGAAACCCTAAACCTAACCAGGTGGCAAAAACAAAAAATAGACCATTAACCCGAAACCCGCAAGCCGCTTTCCACAGTGAGTTTTCTTGCAGGCGGAAGAAGGAAGCGAAGGCTACGATGGAGCCATGCCCAGGCAAGGTGCTGTTCCCTAAACCCTGTAAAGCCTCTAAACCATATAAACCAGTGCAAACATAGAGGTTGCAAGCCCTATAAACCCTAAAAGCCCTATCAAGCCTATAAACCCTAAACCGTAAACCCTAAACCCTGAACCCTGAACCCTAAAAAGGCACGTCGAGCTCCAAAGACGCGGAGGCCAGCGCCATGTAAGAGGGGTTGCAAAGCCGCGGTTTAGGGTTCAGGGTTTAGGGTTTAGGGTTTAGGGTGTACCGGGGGTTGAGGGCTGCATGCTTTCTTAGTGCAAATTCAAGGACTTGGGTTAGGGCTCGTAGGTTGATGAACTGAAGAGCTATCTGGCCCATCTGGCTGATTCAGACCCCAGAAGCGCGGATGCAAACAGGGCTATGAGCTGAACCCTAAACCCTAAACCTTCCATCCTAACCCCGCAGCCCTAAACCCTAAACCCCAAACCGTAAACCCTAAACCCTAAACCCTGAACCCTAAACCCTAAACCCTAAACCCTAAACCCTAAACCCTAAACCCTAAACCCTAAACCCTAAACCCTAAACCCTAAACCCTAAACCCTAAACCCTACCCCGAACCCTAAACCCAAACCCTAACCCCCCCCCCCCCCCTCCTTCCCCAGCCGATGTGGGCAGCGCGCGCCAGGCCGTGGAGGCCGAGGGGAGCGCCTCGCCACAGCCGAGGCTGCCTATTTTGTTTGGGCCCTGGAGCCCTAGAAGAGGGTTTAGGGTATTGGGTTTAGGGTTTAGGGTTTAGGGTTTATGCTTTAGGGTTTGGGGCTTAGGGTTTAAGTTTCGGGTTTCCATGCCTCGCTTGGGGCTTAGGGTTTAGGGTTTACGCTTTAGGGTTTGGGGTTTAGGGTTTTAAGTTTCGGGTTTAGGTTTAGGGTTTAGTTTCTGGTTTAGGGTTGAGGGTTTTTGGTTTATGCTTCCCATGCTTCGCTTGGGGTTTAGGGTTTAGGGTTTATGCTTTAGGGTTTGGGGTTTAGGGTTTTACGTTTCGGGTTTAGGTTGAGGGTTTAAGTTTCTAGTTGAAGGTTTAGGGTCTTTGGTTTATGCTTCCCATGCTTCGCTTGGGGTTTAGGGTTTAGGGTTTATGCTTTAGGGTTTAGGGTTTAGGGTTTAAGTTTCGGGTTTAGGTTTAGGGTTTAAGTTTCTAGTTTAGGGTTTAGCGTTTAGGGCTTAGGTCTAAAGACCCAAAACAAACTTTTCGAGTAGTTACATGGTCCCTTACTGTGGGCGCTTAAATGGGGGCCCCTTATAGACTCCCCTAAAACCCTGGAAGCCTTTAAGGCAGATAAGGGGCCATATGAAGGGACCGTGCAACTGCCCCTAGAGAAACACCGACCAAGCACCTCTTCAGGCTTTGCTCGTCAGCCTGTGCTTGGAGGTTCATGGGTACTTATGACCCCCAATTATCAGTCTACTTATAGCCTACTTAGGGGACTTAGGGGGCTTGCGAAGTACACTTCGAATTTTGGGGTTATAAGTACCCTGAACCTCCGAGTAGTCGTGAAGAAATATCGCCGCCCTGGGGCGGCGCAGGAAGAAGCGGGAAGAGAAGCCGCCAGAAGATCCAGGCGCAGGGGTTTAGGGTTTAGGGTTTCGGGTTTAGGGTTTAGGGTTTAGGGTTTAGGGTTGGGATGTAGGATGACAGTGTTGAAGTATGGTGTTGAGTTAGTTGTGGGGAGTTGCGATTCACCGTTGCCGTCTCTTGTTGTTCGGGGGGGGAGAGGCAGGGAAAGGGCTGAAGGGCCTTGAGGTCTGGCCTTGGGAGTTGCGGGCCGTTTAGGTTCCAGGGTTTGGGGTTTCGTGGCGTGAGAAGCTGGCTTCTCGGAATTCTGTCATGTTCGGGCTGCGTGTGACGCTGGGCTTAACACGGGTTCCTTGAAACCCGAAGACCCCAAACCTCAACCTTATAATCCCTCAACCCCCATCTCTAAAACCCCAAGCCCTAAACCTTCGGTTTTCCCACATGGTGCCCCTCAAGCGCGTCCGATTGTGGTCACCTATAGGCCAGGCTTTCAGCCTTCTCAGGGCAGTGCCCTGTTGGCATCAAAATATCGGAATGGCAGCAGTTCTTTCCACAAAAGGGATATTGGGGTTTAGGGTGTCTCCAAATGACCAAATGACCACAACCCTTGCTACATAGGACCCCCTCCCACTGGCATACTCTATTTTAGGAAGGCCCCCAAGTTAAGTGTGTTGCCAGGCTCTTCCGACGTCAAAGCAGCGCCAACGGAGGCACGACTCTTTGGGCAATGTCATTGTTATGCGGGATGGTGACAAGGCATCAAGGTTGAGAGTTGAGGGTTTATACGGTTCAGGGATGTTACGTAGTCTCAGGAGCCTTCAACTAGAACCCCTAAACCCTAGAAACCCTATACACCCTACACATACTGTAAGCCCTATAAACCCTGCAACCCCTACAAACCCCAAGCCCTACAAACCCTACAAATCCTCCAATCCCTACAAACCCTACAAACTCTGACCCTAAACCCTAAACCCAAAATTCTAATGGCAGGCCGTGGCCCAGGCAGTGGACGTCGAGGCTCCTCCGTCGACGGAGACGAGGTTGGCGACCCATGCATGGGTCTGCTTGCAAGGATTCAGGAGTTCGGGCTTAGGGGTTTAGAGTTTCGGGCTTAGGGTTTAGGGTTTAGGGCATTCTTGTTGCGTGCGCTTTGTCACAGAGGTTGTTTTTCTTAGACCGTCACCCTGAGACACAGTTGTAGGGAGTCTCGGGGCACATGGAAGGACGCAGATGTGAGAATCTCTACACCGGGGGCAGAAAGGCAGAATTCTCGGAGGATTTTGGAGCTGTCGTCTTCAAGCGAATCCTTGGACCCAAATGACTTGATAATGGCCTGGTGCCCGCTAGGGCCCATCTAGGTTACAAAGGGTTCAACTCTATAGTGGCCCAGTGCTTGTTGAGTCGCACGATGAAGCCAGGTAGCGGACATTAACCTCAAACCCTAAAGCCCTCAAACCCCAAGAGCCTAAGACCCTAAAACCCTAAACTCCCTAAACCTAGTCTTACGGGAGGTGTAAGTTGCCCTTGAGACCTCGAGGTCTCGTGTAACGGAGCCCCGCGCCACAAAAAGGTATCGCTTCTTTCAAGACAACTCAACTTTGCTGCCGGGCAAAGTTCTCTTCTTTCCAGGCCCTAAGCCTCAAACCCCAAACCCCAAAACCGGGTCGCCACAAGAACTGGGCACCATCTTCCTCGTCTTTCCAGGCCAGACAAGAAGGCAGCGGTGAAGAGGCACCGATAAAAACACGACAGCTGCACGTATCTCGTATAACAAACTTGAGCAACGCCCCGAAACCTTGAGCTCTCAACCGATGACTTGGTTTTCAAAACTTATAGGGTTTTGGGACTCGTTCTCAAGCTCGGAGACATCCTTACGTGTTGATTTTTTGGGGGGTTTCATTCTTGTTCTTTCATTTTTGAGGGGGACTCGGTTTCATGCGAGTGGAGGTTTCTGGGCTCTGGGTTTAGAGGCTTTTGCTGTGTTGCAAAAAGAGCCGCTGGTTTTGGGCGCTGGGGTTTTGAGCAGTTTTGGGGTGAATACGCGGCTCAGAGCCAGCGGCCTAGCTGAGACCCCATGAGATGAGCCCCAGTCTCCAAGTAAAGGCGAGGGTGAGAGATGAAGCACACTTCCTTGACCTAAACCCTAAACCCTAAACCCTAAACCCTAAACCCTAAACCCTAAACCCTAAACCCTAAACCCTAAACCCCCTTAAAACTCCTGATTTGAGCCTTCAGCCCTTAACCCTCCCAAAAACCCCTCCAGCCTATCGCAAAGGCTCCTTCAAGCCTTAAGAATACCCGGAATAGAGCCTTCACATCATCAGTTCAATAGAACCTACTCATGGTCTTCAGGTACAAGCAAAAGCCTCCAAGAAGCATCCAAGTTCTCAGAGCTAACTGGTGCCCTAAACCTTAAGCCCTAAACCCTAAACCCTAAAACCTAAGCCCTAAACCCTAAACTCTAAACCCTAAACCCTAGACCCTAGACCCTAGACCCTAGACCCTAAACCCTAAACCCTAAACCCAAACCCTAAACCCTAAACTCTAAAACCCTAAACCCTAGGCGGAAGAAAGAGTCGAAGTCTGCGAAGGAGCCAAACCCAGGCATCAGGGTTCAGGGTTTAGGGTTCAGGATTTAGGGTTTAGGGTTTAGGGGTGTATCGGGTCTAAGCTTAAACGTCGTAGGATACGTACTCCAAACAAGGTTGGAACCTACGCAAGGACCCCGGAGTTATTGGGCCCTTACTCCCTTTTTTTTCGGGAGTGGGTTCCTTTCTAACCCCCTTCTCAGACCAAAAAGGGCACTGTTTTTTTCCTGGGTTACTTTGGGGTCTAGTATTTTGAATGTAGCTGCACAGTACCCTGCCTTGCAACTACCCCTAAAATCCTAAGCACCCTCAGGCACTGTAGAACACCATAAACCCTAAACCCTACACCCCAAACCTAAACCCTAAACACTCAAAGCCCAAAGCCCTGGACCTTAGGCTTCTCAGGGAATAGCTTCGAGGAGGGCATAGACTTGCAGGGTGGGCTCCGAAACTGAGAATCTGTGGGAGATTTGCAGGGTTTACGGTTTGGGGTTTAGGGTTTAAAGGTTTAGGGTTTGGGGTTTAGGGTTTCGGGTTTAGGGCTAGGGCTTAGGGAACCGGGGCCTCGCAGCAGGGGTTGGCCTGCTCTATACAGCTCTGGGTCTTGGGGATTCAGATGCTTTTCGGAAACCCTGTAAAGCCTGTAAGCTCTATAAACCCTGTCAACCCCATAAACCCCTTAAATCCCCATAAACCCTATAAAACCTCGTAAAGTCTGTAAACTCCCATGCACCCCATAGGCCCTAAACCCCAAACCCCAAACCCTAAACCCTACAAACCCTAAACCCCAAACCCTAAACCCTACACCCTAAACCCTAAACCCTAAACTTGGGTGGTCAGAGCGTTCCCAAAACCGCCTTCCTGGGCTCCAGGCACGTCGAGCTCCAAGGATCCAGAGGCCCAAACTTTCCGCTGGGTTTAGGGTTCAGGGTTGAGGGTTTAGGGTCTGGGGAGTTTGGGGTTTGGGGTTTAGGGTTTAGGGTCTAGGGTTTAGGGTTCCTTTTTTTGTTCAGGTTTAATATCTGTTGATAGACGAAATCATGCATCACTTTTCTACCGAAGGCCATCTCCTACAAACCCTGAATCTTAAGATTGGGCTTCTTTCCTAGAACAGGTGCAAGCGGCGTGTGCGCGAATGGCCCAGATCGTGCATGAGCCATGCGTGTCATCAACATTAATTGGCCTTCCTGTACAGGGTGGGGCCCCCTAGTCATAAGTAGAGTTATAAGGGCCCTAAATTGGGTTATAAGGACCCTAAGTCAGGTTATAAGTCCCTTAACTACAGTTAGTATAGTAAGGGGGCCCCACCCTGTACGTAGACAGAGAGGTCTTCTGGCCTGCTCGCTTCCCTCAATCGCCACACATCAACATTGAAATGCGAGGGGTGCAGGGAACTGCGCCGGTTAACATGCCATGCTCGTCTTGGACCGGGTTAGGGTTTAGGGTTTAGGGTTTAGGGTTTAGGGTTTAGGGTTTAGGGTTTAGGGTTTAGGGTTTAGGGTTTAGGGTTTAGGGTTTAGGGTTTAGGGTTTAGGGTTTAGGGTTTAGGGCATGCCACGATTTCGTGTATCCACCGTTTGTCCATGTCGAACATAGCCAGGAAGGAGATTGAGGGCTTAGGGTTTAGGGTTCAGGGTGTGACATCTTACATGCTTCCCTTATTCGGTTTGACACAGAATCCAATCTTGGAATCTTTCTTTGAGGGTTCTAAGGGACAGCCTAGGTTAGTACCGGAGCCTTGACAATTAGAAAGGGAGTTGCTGGAGGCCTTCGGCATCATGGGTTTTGTATTTGGGGGGCCTAAACCCTAAACCCTAAACCCTAAACCCTAAACCCTAAACCCTAAACCCTAAACCCTAAACCCTAAACCCTAAACCCGGCTCAAAAGTGGAAAACGTCGGTTGGTAGGCTGGTAAGCCACACTGGGAGTTTCATGGGTGGCCAGCACCGAGTTACAAGTAGGGTAACTTTTGTGTTATACTTAGTTGTGACCATGCTTTGCTTGGGGCGTTTGTATCCCAATTCTCTCCGAACCACGCATGCACCCTCAAGTATAGGAAACGTGCGTAGTGCACCTCATGTGAAGGAATCTTTATCCCGCAGAATGCAAAGGATTTAGGGTTTAGGGTTTAGGGTTTAGGGTTTAGGGTTTAGGGTTTAGGGTTTAGGGCTACCCCCCCCAAGGCTCCCCCCATAATTAAGGCTATTCAGGGATAATTAAGCCTAATTAAGGTTATTAAAGGGGGGGGGGGGTAGTAAGGGAACCCCTAGAAGTGGGCATAGGGTTTTAGGGTTTATATAGGGCGTTAGGGTTTAGGGTTTTGGTTTTTAGGGTTTTTGGGTTTTTGGGTTTTAGGGGTTTAGGGTTTTACGGTTTTACGGTTTTTCAGGGTTTTTGTAGGCTTTTAGGGTTTGAAACCCCTGTTGGCAGCCCAGAGTGAGAACCCTTCGTTGTAATATGGTTGCTGCGCCGCCGGGGCTCAGCTTTGCACATGCCAGGACCCGGAAGCCACTTCCGAGTCGCTGAGGCAAGGGTTGGGGCAAAGTTTTCTAAAACCACCCGAAACCCTGAACCCCACCCACAAAACCCCAAACCCTAAACCCTAAACCCTAAATCCCAAACCCTAAACCCTAAACCCTAAACCCCATACCACAAAACCCCAAACCCTAAACCCTAAACCCCGAACCCTGAACCCCAAACCCCAGGCCCTAAACCCTAAACCCCCTTTGCATACCTGCAGCGTGGTTGCGAGGCAGCTAGGGAGGCGTCAACAAACCCCAAACCCCAAACCCTAAACCCCAAACCCCAAACCCCAAACCCCAAACCCTAAACCCTAAGCCATAACATGAAACCCTCGAAGTTGGGCCTGCAGGCAGCCGAAAGCCATGCCGAAGAGGCCGGTGCAGGGTTTAGGGTTTAGGGTTTGGGGTTTGGGGTTTAGGATTTAGGGTTTGGGGTTTAGGGTTAAGGGTTTAGGGTTTACGGTTTAGGCTTTAGGGTTTAGGGTTGGGGCCTGTTGCAAAGGGTTTGGGGTTTGGGGTGTGGGGTTTAGGGTTTAGGGTGTGTGTGTGCGTGTGGGGTTTGGGGTAAAGCTCACACAAAGCTGTGAACTTCAATCTCGGATTCCCAAGTGGCAGGGTTCGTTCCATGAACCCACTGCGCAGGTGTCATTGAACGGTGCCTTTTTTTGCTTCTCCAACAAGATGAACCTAGCTTTTTTTTGGTCTAGGGAGGCCTTTTATTTACCTTATGTTAGGTAGGGGTTTTGACCCTAAACCCTAAACCCTAAACCCTTGTGAACCAGAAGTGTTCGGCCTCACCTCCAGGAAGAAGCAGGGCGAGGCGCCAGCGAAGGAGCCCAGCAGCCTGCCGAAGCATGCGGCGTCAGGCCGCGCCACCTTTTGGGCTGGTTATTTGTTTAGGGTTTAGGGTTTAGGGTTTAGGGCTTAGGGTTTAGGGTTTAAGGTTTAGGGTTTAGGGTTTAGGGTTTAGGGGAGTGAGGAACCCTATATAATCCCTTAAAGGTATATTAAGGGGCCAGTTCCCTCATTCCCTACTAAGAACCAGTGGGTCTCGGGCATGTTCCTTGACTACGATTTTGCTTAAGAAACCCCAAATAAGAAAAGATAATAATCCCCATATCTGCTACGATGTTGCTTCAGAACTCCCCCAAAAAGGAAAGCTAATTATCCTATACTGCCCTTAGATAAGGAAGAGTATTGCGTTGATGCTTAAAGGGTTTTTAAGCAATGGTGTAGGTTAGAAGAGTCTCCTATGAAAAGCAGAGATGAGCTGCTTACAAAGGGCTTACATCAACTGAACCCCCATGCAGCTGAACTTTAAACCCTGGGGCTTTTAAACATCTAATGCTTAAAGGTTTGGGCGGTTCGGAAGTTAAGAAGCTTAGCAGTTTTGGCTTTAACGGTTCAGGGTTTTAGGATTTGAAGTTTGAGGTTTCGGGTTGAGGGTTGGTGGGCCGTAGGGCTGAGCAGCGGAAGAACTGCCATTGGAACAGACGGTGTGTTTTCCAACAGTTCCGACTACGGGGCTATGATTGCGCCCACTATAGGGACGCGTACGATGACGAACATAGGGGTCCCATTCAGGGTGTTTGGGCAGCCAAGTATCCCGTTCATTTGGGTATGGTGGATA